AGAACTAAAAGAGATTTTTCGAAACGGCTTTTTGCATTAAAAAGAGGATACTTAAATTCATAATTGGTGATATTTCCACAAGGATCCTTCAAGAAATTAATTTTATAGCGAATTTTGAAAGTTATCGATGAAAATTGCAACATCGAAAGTTTTATCAAAACTTCAAATATTGTTTTCTTAAAAACTAAAAGTTATTTTTCAAAACGTGTTAGTTCATTGGAAAGAGGACACTTTTATTAACATTTTGGGAAATTTTCATACCAATATTCCAAGAAATGGATTTTATACGAATTATTAAAATTGAATCGGCGAAAATTGCAAAATTCGAAAAAATTGTCGTTCATTTCAAAAATTTATTTCTCACGAACTGAAAGTGATTTTTGAAAACGGCTTTTTGCATTAAAAAGAGGATACTATAATTAATAATTGGTGATATTTCCACAAGAAAATCGAAAACATTATTAAACATCGAAAATTTTATTAAAACTTCAAATATTGTTTTAAAATGCGTAAAATACATGTTGAAGGTTAAATTTAAATAAAACAATACGATGTATGATTAAACTTCTTTCTTGCTATATTTTTATTCAATTCGTCCGTACCTAATTTATAAGGTCATCATCAGCCGAATCTACATGACCAAGAAATCACAATTACAAAAATTCTTTAAATAAGTCAATCGATACAAAATCTATAATTAGAATTTTAACTTACGGTCAAATAAAAGTCTTTCCAAAATGGAGACACGAAATACACATCATGTAAACATTTAAAAAACATAAGTTATAATATATTAAAATTTCCACACACACCATATCTTAAAAGTATGGAAAAGAAACCTAATCACAATAATTTTTCTCAAATTCAACAATGGAAAAATATAAAGTCTATTAAAAACAAATTGAAAGAAAATAATGCAATTTATATAAAAGCAGACAAAGCAACTGGCATCGTTATAATAAAAAAAGATGTATATATTAAAAAAACTAATGAATTCATGAAAGGTAACAACTATATAGAACTTGTGAATTAATAAACTATAGTAAACTATTTTAGTTTGTACTACTTTGTCTTAATTAGTAAACTTGTGTCATTTAATAATTCCCCAAGATATAAACTCGCAAATTTCATGTTAAATATTTTCAAAGAATTGAATTTCAAACGTACATACTCTATACCGAATATAACCAAATGCATAAAAGAAGTTGAAAACATAGATCTTACAAATAGATATTTGATTTCTTTCGATGTAGGGGATCTATATTCTAACGTTCCAACATAATTTACTTAGGATCTGACTGACTAGCTATTTAGAGATCATTTTGAAGATAAAACAAATATAAAAGATTTTAATGAAATCCTAAAACATATAGTTAAATAAAATTATTGCATTTTTAATAATAAAACTTACAAAGTATCAGAAGGATTACCTATGGGCATGCCTTTATCTCGCATACTCGCCGATATAGAAGAAGAAGAAAACAATATTTATTTGGACTTATATAAAAATTATAACAATAAGAAATACGAAAAGAAATACATATATAAAATAAAATAAATATAAAAAACGAGTCCAAAAGGGCTATAGACCTTAGTCTTCCTGCCCGTGATTTTGCGTTCGGTTTGGTTGTACTTGGGTCTTCTCAGTTGGGCCTTATTTTTTTAAGAAGTGTGAGCCGTGTTATGGGACAGCGGGTAAGGGAAAGGGGAATGATGATGAGATTTTTNTACATACTCTATACCGAATATAACCAAATGCATAAAAGAAGTTGAAAACATAGATCTTACAAACAGATATTTGATTTCTTTCGATGTAGGGAATCTATATTCTAACGTTCCAACAGAATTTACTTTGGATCTGACTGATTAGCTATTTAGAGATCATTTTGAAGATGAAACAAATATAAAAGATTTTAATGAAATCCTAAAACATATAGTTAAACAAAATTATTGCATTTTTAATAATAAAACTTACAAAATATCAGAACGTTTACCTATGGGCATGCCTTTATCTGGCATACTCGCCGATATATTTTTAGACTATTTTGAAAACCATCATATTATGAATACTAAAAATCTTTTCAAAAAGTATATAGTTAAATGGATAAGATATGTGGATGACGTTTTTTCTATATGGGAAAGTAATCTTAGTGTTTTAAAAGAATTTTATAAATATTACACAATAAATTAAACTTCACCATCGAGTTAGAAAATAATAAAGTTTTAAATTTTTTGGATTCTTAAAATAAGCAATATTGAAAACAGATTGAATTTTAATATTTATAGAAAACCTAGTTCAGTTGATACAATAATTCCATATGATTCTAATCACCCCTTATCTCATAAATTAGCGAGCTTCAGGTATTTTATCGAATGAATTTTTAATTATCCATTATCACAAGAAAATAAAATTGATGAACTATATCTTTGATCTAACAAAAAAATAATAATTTTCCTGAAAAAATAATTAAAAATGTATTTAATAAAATTAGAATAAAACATGATCCTTTATTTCCCAAAGATAATGAACCTAAAAACTATAAACCCATTCTATTTAACTCTATAACAGCATTTAGTAAAAGAATTTTTCAGAAATATAATATTAATCTTGTCTTTTCTAATAATACAACATTAATAAGGGTACTATCTAATTATAACATTAATAAAGAGAGTGGTGTTTATCAGATTAACTGCTCTGAATGTAATAAGTAATAACATAAATAGAATAATGGAACATAAAAATAAAACCAATTCTAATGTTTTTAAACATAAAATTGAAACAGGATTTCTTCCAATTGATTTTGAGAATGTAAAATTGTTGCATAGATGTAACAAAGGTTTTAAATTAGATCTTTTGGAAGCTCTGGAAATTAACAAATATACTAAAAACAAAAAATATGAACTTCTCAATAACCAGTTGAATATTAAATTTACACCTTTGTTTAGTTACCGAAGTAAAATATAAAATTCCTTTGGATTTTCATGGCTTCTTTTTCTTTATATATTTCGTTAAAAAGTTATTTTTGTCTGTTAAATTTCTTTTGAAAGCTGTTTATTTCTTTGTAAAGACTTTTATTTGACCGTAAGTTAAAATTCTAATTATGGATTTTTTATTTTTTATCTTTTCAATTTTGTATCGATTGACTTATTAAAAGAATTTTTGTAATTGTGATTTCTTGGTCATGTAAATTCGGCTGATGATGACCTTATAAATTAGGTTGAAACCGGTACCGAGGAATTGAATAAAAAATATAGCAAGAAGGAAGTTTAATCATACATCGTAATGTTTTATTTAAATTATTCAAATATTGTTTTCTCAAAAACTAAAAGTTATTTTTCATAACTCATATTAAAATAACTGGATTTTATAAGAATTTTTAAAATTTAATTAACACACAGTAATATTAGGAAGGGGAAATAATTAATTGTTTGCAAAATCTCTCTTCTTAGATGGACAAATTGAATGTTTTTTTATGACTTTTAGCTTGTAGTCGTAAAAGAGCTGAAATGGAGGAAGCAAAACAATATTTTTTCGTAAGTTTACATTGTGATAGCATGGGAAATTACGAACCACTTCAATGTCAAGACGGAAATTGTTGGTGTGTTGAACCAAAAACGGGGGAATTAACAGCACCGGTTGTACCGGAATTAATGATGTCACAATTACCATGCTGTAATTATTACATTTATTTATTAATGCTATTAATATTTATCATAAAAATTATTTATAGATGATAGTGAATCGGTTGGTTCTCAATATTTCCGGCAATGTGAAAGTCAGATTTACGCTCAAGCGAAAATAAAAGATGAATACAACGCGCATGGAACAATAAAAATAAATTTTGGTAACTTGAAATGTCTTTATGATGGGAATTTTGGACCGTATAAAACAGAAGAGGGACAGTAAGAACAATTTTATTAATTTAAATTAATTCGTTGTAATATATCGTTATAATTTTAGAACGATGTGCGTGTGGAAAGATAATTCAAAAATTGGAAGTTATGCTGTCGCTGGGGAGAATCCCACATTAACTTGCAGTAAGTATTTATAAATTAAAAATATAAAAATAATTGTTTCTTTTAAGATTGTGCGAGAGATGTAAAAATTTTTGAATTACTTGGAAAACAACTTATGCAAGCTTGTTCTCCTGACGGAAGCTATTCTCCCGTTCAAAAAGATGGGGATGAATATTATTGTGTTGATACTGATGGGTATAGAAAGAACGATCCGCGAGAAAAACCGTTTGATGAAGAAGAGTGTCGAGTTATGATATAAAGATACTATTCTTTTTTATTAGACAACTTTATTGTAATTATAAATTATACAATAAAAAAGAAAACAGGCCAACACCTATTTAAATACAATTAACTATTTAACAAATAATGAGACAAAAAAATAATTTTAAAATCTATTGTTATCACTATTAAATTGATTATATCTTTTTTTTTAATTCGAGTACAATTATTAATTTGTATTTTATTTATTGTAAATAAATTAACCATCTCTTGTTTATAAATAAATTTGACTTAATTCTATTATTTTAATTTAAATTAAATCATTAACAATTGCACCATTTCATTTCTACAACATAGAAATTGTTATTTACGTAATAAAGCATATCAGTTTCTTTAAAATATTTATTAAGAGGCAAGAGTTATTAAGATTAAAGACTAGATTATGAAAAGTTAAACACTTTTTGTAGTAATAATGGAGGGAATTAAAAATAATTGGTCCGAAAAACCATTATTAATAATAATTATTAAGTATTAATCTTTTTATAATGTTTTAACTGAAAATTTGTGCGTAAAAATAAAGAAACAGGCAGTTAGATTTTAATATTATTTACGTGGAATGTTAAAAAAGTTTCACAAATTATCACTTTATTAACGTTATTAAATAAACAAAACCGACTTCTTTTAAACACACATCTTAAAACATACAAATCATTTTTTTCTTTTCCTTAATCTCCATTAGAACATCTCACAGCTTCCTCAACAACCTCAAAACTTGGATAATCCAATTCTTTTACCAAACATAACACCGCCGATAAAATATTTGAATTCTAAAAAACAAATTTTAAATAATACACTGCTCAAAAAAATTAGAGGAACACTTTTCTCGAAATCTGTAACTTTTTAAATAATAATTCTAGGAAAATCAAATTTGATTTACTTCATGGGCATATACAGGTGTCTCAGCGAGACCAGTCATTAGACGTTTCTGGGGTTCTGGCCAAAATAAAAATTTGAGAATTCAGATTTAAGTATTATGAATTGCGTTCTCTTCGACTAAAATATTTTCAGAATTCTAGCACTTCCGGAAGTTCTGGAACGGTTAACAATATTGCTCTCATGCACTTTTGCTCTTAGATCCGTCAATATAGATACGAAAATATGAAAATTTTATGAATTTGTTGCTCTTTCAAGTTATTAAACTTGAAACACTTGGGAATCGGAGCATGCTATAGGAAATCTTTTATAACAAAAATTGTTGCAAATTTTATTGTTAACAATATTGCTCTCTTACACTTTTACTCTTAGATGCGTCAATATCGAGATAGATACGAAAATAGGGAAATTTTAGAATTTGTTGCCCTTTCAAGTTACTAAAAGTAACACTTGAGAATCGGAGCTTGCTGTAAGAAAACTTTTATAACAAACATTGTTGCAAATTTTATTGTTAACAATATTGCTCTCTTGCACTTTTGCTCTTAGATACGTCAATATCGAGATAGATACGAAAATATGAAAATTTTATGAATTTGTTGTTCTTTCAAGTTATTAGACGTAACACTTGGGAATCGGAGCATGCTATAGGAAATCTTTTATAACAAAAATTGTTGCAAATTTTATTGTTAACAATATTGCTCTCTTGCAGTTTTACTCTTAGATGCGTCAATATCGAGATAGATACGAAAATATGAAAATTTGATGAATTTGTTGCTCTTTCAAGTTATTAAAGGTAACACTTGAGAATCGGAGCTTGCTATAAGAAATCTTTTATAACAAAAATTGTTGCAAATTTTATTGTTAACAATATTGCTCTCTTGCAGTTTTACTCTTAGATGCGTCAATATCGAGATAGATACGAAAATATGAAAATTTTATGAATTTGTTGCTCTTTCAAGTTATTAAAGGTAACACTTGAGAATCGGAGCTTGCTATAAGAAAACTTTTACAACAAAAATTGTTGCAAATTTTATTGTTAACAATATTGCTCTCTTGCACTTTGGCTCTTAGATACGTCAATATCCAGATAGATACGAAAATATGAAATTTTAAGAAATTGTTGCTGTTTCAAGTTATTAAAAGTAACACTTGAGAATCGGAGCTTGCTATAAGAAAACTGTTACAACAAAAATTGTTGCAAATTTTATTATTAACAATATTGCTCTCTTAGATGCGTCAATATCGAGATAGATACGAAAATATGAAATTTTAAGAATTTGTTGCTTTTTCAAGTTATTAAAGGTAACACTTGAGAATCGGAGCTTGCTATACGAAAACTTTTACAACAAAAATTATTGCAAATTTTATTGTTAACAATATTGTTCTCTTGCACGTTTACTCTAAGACGCGTCAATATCGAAATAGATACGAAAATATGAACATTTTTTAATTTATTGCTCTTTCAAGTTATTAAAGGTAACACTTGGGAATCGGAGCATGCTATAAGAAAACTTTTACAACAAAAATTGTTGCAAATTTTATTGTTAACACTATTGCTCTCTTGCACTTTTGCTCTTAGATACGTCAATATTGACATAGATACGAAAATATGAAATTTTAAGAATTTGTTGCTTTTTCAAGTTATTAAAGGTAACACTTGAGAATCGGAACTTGCTATACGAAAACTTTTACAACAAAAATTATTGCAAATTTTATTGTTAACAATATTGCTCTCTTGCACGTTTACTCTAAGACGCGTCAATATCGAGATAGATACGAAAATATGAACATTTTTTTAATTTGTTGCTCTTTCAAGTTATTAAAGGTAACACTTGGGAATCGGAGCATGCTATAAGAAAACTNATGGAGATAGATACGAAAATATGAACATTTTTTTAATTTGTTGCTCTTTCAAGTTATTAAAGGTAACACTTGGGAATCGGAGCATGCTATAGGAAATCCTTTATAACAAAAATTGTTGCAAATTTTATTGTTAACAATATTGCTCTCTTGCATTTTTGCTCTTAGATACGTCAATATCGAGATAGATACGAAAATATGAAATTTTAAGAATTTGTTACTCTTTAAAGTTATTAAAGGTAACATCTGAGAATCGGAGCTTGCTATAAGAAAACTTTTATAACAAAAGTTGTAGCAAATTTTATTGTTAACAATATTGCTCTCTTGCGCTTTTGCTCTTAGATACACCAATATCGACATAGATACGAAAATATGAAATTTTAAGAATTTGTTGCTCTTTCTAGTTATTAAAGGTAACACTTGAGAATCGGAGCTTGCTATACGAAAACTTTTACAACAAAAATTATCGCAAATTTTATTGTTAACAATATTGCTCTCTTGCAGGTTTACTCTAAGAAGCGTCAATATGGAGATAGATACGAAAATATGAACATTTTTTTAATTTGTTGCTCTTTCAAGTTATTAAAGGTAACACTTGGGAATCGGAGCATGCTATAGGAAATCCTTTATAACAAAAATTGTTGCAANGTAACACTTGAGAATCGGAGCTTGTTATAAGAAAACTTTTACAACAAAAATTGTTGCAAATTTTATTGTTAATAATATTGCTCTCTTGCACTTTTGCTTTTAGATGCATCAATATCGTGATAGATATGAAAATTTGATGAATCTGTAGGTTCTTTTAAGTTATTAAAGCTAATACTCGGGAATCGCAGCGTGTTACAAAAAAACTTTTACAATAAAAGTTGTAGCAAATTTTATTGTTAACAATATTGCTCTCTCGCACTTTTGCTCTAGATGCGTCACTATCTATTTTAAAAATGTTATATTACTTATGACATGTACTGTATATACCAACGATATGGCAACGTGGCTCGATCGACACTGCCATATCGTTGGTGTATACTTTTATACAATATAAGTAGGGTATTCCTATAAGGTACAATTTTTGTCGCAATTGTATTGATTTTAAGTACGATGTGTTTCATAATATTTTGTTAAAATCTTGAAAATCAGTAGATTAAGTCGTATATGGGTAGACTATCTTCTATGTCGGTAGAATATTTGTGATTTTAGCGCCATCTATTTTTTTTAATTATTAATTTTTAATGTTTTTTCTATCTTATCTTAAAAACCAGATAAGATTTCAATAGATTATATCAAAAATAATTCGAATTGATTCATCAATTAGATCCTATTTATGTTATGAACATATAAGCTTTTTTTATGATTTTAGCCCCATCTAACATGACGGGTTTTAACTAAAACATATAATTGTAAAATGTATAATTTTTAATATTTTTTGTATTATATTTTAAAAACTAGATAAGGTTGCAATAGATTGTAGCAAAAATCATTCAATTAATTACATCCTATTTATGTTATAAACATGTAAGCTTTTAATGTTTTTTGTATCTTATCTTAAAAACTGGATAAGATTTCAATGGATTGTACCAAAAATCATTCGTACTGATTCATTATTTACATCCTGTGGTGTTTTTATTAATAAATAAGAAAGAATTTGTTCCAATAATGTGGAAAATATTAATATTTAGCGTTTTATTTTGTGCGGTAAATTGTGATTTGGATTGTACTAAATATCAAGTACACACCGATTTCGGCCCCGAAGATTGTGATAGTGAAGCTGGTTATTATTATAATCCAACATTGTATGGTGGTTGTATACCAGGGTGTGAAAAACGATTGAGTAAGTTTTAACATATGATTATAAAGGTGTTTTAACTGCTTAAATAATAGATCCTTCTGGACCTCATCAATGTACTCCATCATATCTTTGTCCTCCTGCTTATGATTGCAAGGAAAAACAGTGCGTACTTGATGAGGGTAAGAAAAAAATAATAAGGTATAAAGAAAACCTAAGAAAAATTCTTGCTTTTAGACTCTTGTTTTAAGTATGTCTATAAAATAGGAGACTATGAGAATGCTAGATTTCAACCAAAATGTTTAGTAGATGGAACATGGGCACCTAAACAATGTAAAGGAGATAGATGTTTTTGTTACGGACCTAAAGGAAATCGGATTTTTGGGGATGCATTTCTTAATCAAGCTTCAAATATGACTTGCGGTAAATTAAACCAAGCTCTCTTCTTCATGAACCTGACCATCCTTCCTAATCATCTCTCGTCCTCATGATGATCTTACAAAGAATATTAAAATTTGTGAATATTTATAAATACTAATCACTTACATTAGTGCAATATTACTCGTATCTCGTATCTGTTGTAATTATAATAGTACATTAAAAAACAAGTTTCGTAAGACACGCTTGAAATGCACGAATTCAAGTTGAAACATGAGTGGCGTGAGTCTTATGAAACGTGTTTTTATGGTATTTTTTGTAATTCGCGTTTTTATACTATTTTTTTAACAAAAATAAAATAAATTTTGACAATGTAGGTAAATAGGTATGTAGCAGTTGGTAACATCGCAACACTTGAAAATAGAAATTTGAATTAACAATTAGAAATTGTCAAAACACAAAATGTATTCACCTGAAAAAAAAGTTTTATGTAGACTTCCCAAAATAAGAGAAATTGCTGAGTTCAATGTCGTTATCATTGTGGACCTTGTATTCGATGCTAAAAACGTGTTTAAACACCCATAGACAAAAATTGTCACATTGACATATAGAAAAATTAATGATCCAATGTCACCAACTTGAACTGGTTCCATAAAATGTTACTAAAATCTCATTACAGCATCGAATGGTGTAAGGAGTCTCATTACAGCACCCGTTTGAGTACTGTAATAGCTTTCATTACCGTCGCGAATTACAAAAACGGTTATTTAAAGTTACTTATCACTTATATTTTATAATTGTCATCTATATAACATTGGTACGGTCTTTTGAAAGAAATTTTGTTAAAGGTATCGTAATTTGAGCGAAATTTTGTCCAAATCTCCTGTAATATCCAAGTACTTCTAAAAATGATTTTATTTATTTGTGCTTTTCTTCTTGGTATTAGGAATTTCTTAATACATTCTATCTTGCCGGAATCTTTAATTCCATCTTTTGTTTTGACATGACCTAAATAATTAAGGATTTTCTTCATGAATTCGCACTTATCGAGAGATATTTTCATTTGATATTGACTACTATCAGTAATCAGTGAAAATTTCTTCCTATCACATGTTAATTTGGAAATTTTCGGGTCCATGGTTTTCCTTTTATCGCGAGTTAAGTGAAAAAAGTACCCGATTTTTGAGAATGCCAGCAACTTTGTCTACTTTATGATTTTTTTTCTCCAAAACTGTTTGACGAAAATATTTCAAATTTGAATTGGTGGAATTGGTGGCATATTTTATTTTTTCGATATGCCAAATAATTTCGCGGAAAATCGCGGTTTAGTAGGATGCGGTTATTTCGAAAACGACCTGGCGGATTTCAACGCGGTTTTTACTAAAATATGTCAAATAATCTCGGTTGTCGGATACCGTTATCAGTTTTTCAAAATTAGGACTCCCTAATTTTTTAAGAGCGTTTTTATGGAAGTACATATTAAAGAGAAACAGAAGTAAGCTATGCGGGGAGAGGAGGGTTTCGTCCAATCGGAACAGATGGTGTGTCCCAGACAGTACGTCGCGCCTTTATCTTACCTACAGAAAGAAATAAGGCGCGACGTCCTGTCTGGGATGCACCATCTGTTCCGATTGGACGAAACCCCGTCACCGCGCAGAGCTTATTTCTGTTTCTCTTTAATTTGTAATTCCATTAAATCGCTCTTAAAAAATTAGAGAGCTCTAATTGTGAAAAACCGATAACGAAATCCGACATTATTTGACATATTTTGGTAAAATTCGCGAGGAAATCCACCCAGCCGTTTTCGAAATAACGGCGTCTTACTAAACCGCGATTTTTCGCGAAACTGTATGGAATATCGAAAAAATAAAATATACCACTCATTAAGAACACATCTGGATACCACCTGTTCAAAATTCAAAGTTTTCGAGAAAAAAAAACGCAAAGTTGACAAAGTTGTCGGTAACGTAAAAAAAAGGTACTTTTTTCATTTAACTCCCGATAAAAAGAAAACCGTGGATAAGAAAATTTTTAAATTAACATATGTTACGTAGAAATGTTCAGTGATTACAACAAACTTTGTCGCAATTTTCTTTATCGAACGTTTGCGAAGACATCGATCTCTAAAGTGAGGGACCTTGACTTTTTGCACGGATGTGGTGATGGAGCGGATAGTGATTTTGCGAAAAGCCGGATACCGGATATTCGGTATCCCCGTCGGCCGAATATCCGGTTATCCGGCATATCTATCCGGCCATTATGGTTATTATTTCTGAAGTGATACCCTATATTTCCACATTATTGCGATATTTGAATAAAAATGAAATTAATAAGAAAGCTGATAACTAATTTGATACTGATTTAACCCAGATATGCCTAAATTAAAACCACTTTACAAATCATAATAACTTTATTGAAAACTTGTTTAAAGAAGCAAAACAAAGTCTTACAAACAAACCATGACAATTTGTTTTTTTGTAAATTGAAAATTCGGACGGTCCTACATGTAGGACATTCGGCACATGAATATCTATAAACGTAAAATTATTTATTAGTGTGATACTGAACAAAACACTTCGTGTGTACACCAATGTCACAT